CTATAGGGGTTATTTAATGGGGATGCTAGGAGTTTACACTGTAGCTCACATGATGCAAGGTGATGGCGGTTGTGAGTCTGAATGAGGGCATTGGGCTTTTGCGGAATTTTCGAAGCCTGCACCACGTTTTTGGAATTTTTGCACATTGACTTCTGCTTGATACTCCTCAGCCTTCTTAGGGCACTTTAGGGTCAAGGCTGGGGGCTGATGGTTTCCAGGGTTTGGGTTGGGCCTTAAACCCTATAAGCCTACCAAAGCCAGGAGACAACGTGCCCATCCGCGCGCGGGTCTTTGCAGTGAAGAAGCTCTCAAGGCCCTTTGTGCCCGTCCGTGTAGTATTTTTTTGGGGATACTATGGTATTCATTATAGAGTAAGATTATATCCTTTTTTTGGGGTATAGTATTTTATTTCAGGAATATTATCTTACTAGGTTCAACCACCAAAAAAACACTACTCATCTGAGCTATAGGCTAGACTCCTTAAAGGAGAGCTATATACGCTTCAGAGTTTAGTTTCTAAACTCCTTCAAGGGGGGTTATGTACGGTTTAGGGTTGAGGTTCTGAACTCCTTTAAGGGGATTACGTAGGCCATTATATATAGGTGAGTGGATCCCTAGGTCAAGCCAGGAAAGTAACCCTAAACCCGAAGGTCAAGCCAGGAAAGTGCAATCATTGTTCAGAACGGCTTTCCCTGGCATCCCTTCGCCTTGACTTACGAGAACGTACATTATGGTAGAAATCTGTGACAAGTGGGCATTGTATTGCAAAAGCCGTTATTGATGGCAAGAACAATAGCACGAGCAGTAATGAGTAATGACAGCGACATTACAAGTGATCATAGAGTTCTTCAAGGGAAGCTACAATTTTCTGGCCACAGCTCACGACAGGTGGCTACGCTGGCCGCAGGCAACTAAGAAGGCGCTCCACAGGGTTGTGTTTCTGGGGTTGCTGTTCAGGAACTTAAACTAATCTACCATTGGTGTGAACCCTTGTTACTTTCTATTGATCCATGTCAGGGCCGCTCAATTTAAGTTCTCCAACAGCAAAATGCAACCCAGTCGTCCCGATTGCCATGCAGGTTGCTGCATTTAGATCCTATAGGCTTTCAACTAGTGGCCTGTTCTCAGATGAAATTATGTTCTGTTTCCCTAGTGAGTAGAAGTGAGTAGCACAGGCTCCTATAGCCGGCCACCTGTTGTGCTTTGGGTTCGGGCTTAGAGCCTAAGGCCTTGGTCTTGGATAGGGCCAGGGTCTGTGTAGTTGAGGCGCAAGAGGATCACGACCATAGGCGGTCAGCGTAAGCCCTAAATCCTAAACCCCAAACCCTAATGGAATGTTTCAAGCCCCGAAGTTTTCCTCAGACTAATCGTAGGACGATAGAACCATCCACTCCAAAACCTGATTTCCCTTTACGGTTTAGGGTTTAGGGTTGTTGCTGACTAAATAGCGCGTTCAGATCATTTGTGTGCATGCTGAGTGTCAGTGAAGCATTGTTGGCTTACATGGGCACTACCTGCACGCTAGGTTCCATGCGGAGTGCTTGCGTTTGACACCCGTGCTTGGGGTTCAGGTTTGCTACATTCCTACATGCAAGTCCAATGGGATGAGGGGCTCCCATAATCCCTTCTACTCCTTATAAAGGTTTAGGGTTTAGCAAGTACCCTAGACCCCAAACCCTAAATCCCAAACCCTAAATCCTAAACCCTAGACCCCAAACTCTAAATCCTAAACCCTAAATCCTATACCCTAGAACCCTAAACCCTAAACCCCTCAAACCCTAAACCCTTTGACCGCAAATGAAGGACCTGGTGCCTGTGCCCACAGCCCTTGCGGGTCTTCTCTATGGCTTGCAATCGGAGCCTGAGGTGGTCCAAGGGATTATGGGCTTAGGGTTCAGGGACTATGGGTTTAGGGTTCAGGGATTATGGGTTTAGGGATTATGGATTATGGGTTTAGGGTTTAGAGCTCCGGAATTAGGGCGCTTTATATGAACTATAATAGGTAATGTTGGGGTTATATTGGGGCTTATACAGGGATAATGGAAAGAACATGGACACTATTGTAGTGGGGATATATTGGGTTTAGGGTTTACCGCTGAGGGTCGTTTAGGGTTTAGGGTTTAGAGTTCGGGGATTAGGGTTCAGGGGTTAGGGTTCGAACCTCCCACATGCCCATATAGTTAATGGCTTTTCGCCCCAAGAGTATGTGGATAGAGGCAGTTATTATGAGAAAACTTGTTGAAGGCCCAGCTGTAAGTTTTACAAGTTAGTGCTTGGGTGTAGGGTGCATGGGGCTTCCAGGTCGTGGTGGGGCGTGTGTACCGCATCCAAGAGCTCAGGCACCGTTGACCATACTTTGACGCTTACACTGCATGGCGTATTGGAGCATGCCCGCTGAACGATTGACCTCTGGAGTCTTCGGTAGGTTCACCTGGGATTTTTCCGTCATGATCACCGTAAAATCTACAAGACGACTCCGCATAACCATACTCGCCTGCGAGGCCTACCATCCATAACGTTGGGCTAAATATCACATTTAGCCAGGGTGCTAGGAAAAGGTTTTGCTAGGCTTAGGTCTGTCTACAGCATCACAGGCCTAGGATGCGGGCCAGCTGAGTTCGTACCGTCCTGTGAACGTCCTACTGCTCTTGGACCTAATAGGGGTTTCGGCTGGGTTGCTGTTAAGGAAGTTAGATTAAGTTACTATACGTAGGGTTTGGGGTGTGTCATCCCAGACCTCAGCCCCCAAAACTCACAAGACCAGGAACCCTGAACCCTGAAGCGCGGAGCCTCACTGGGTCGCTGTTCAGGAACTTGAATTAGTAAATAATGGGGTTTCTTAGTATGGAATTTAAGTTCCTTAACTGCAACCCAGTTTAGGGAGCTGCATGATGAAGATTTAGAGTCTGAGGTAACGGTGTCCTCATGTGAGCAGTGCGGATAGAAACTGTGCTTGGAGTTAGGTAAGTCTCCACAATGAATAATCCTCACTGGACCACTATGCCGTGCAACTTGAGACTGGCAGGGTCGCAGGAGGATTAGTCCTCCTCAAGCCCTAAACATTACAAGCCCCTAAATACCCAGACCCTCCTATGAAGTGCCTTTTTGGGTAGTATATTATCATCCCTTACGAAAGACCCATAACAGACCCAGAAAGGAACTACATGGGAGCCCTTGGGTAAGTAAGCTCCAGGCCCTAAGTCCCAAAACAAGGCCAACGAGCAGAGTCAGCAGGGTGTCTTTGATTTTTCCGTAGTCCAGGCCTTTACTGCATGTGATTGAAAAAGACTCTACGCAAGTGGTTAATACCTCCATTCTCTGGGCTGCTGTTAAGGAATTTAAACTAAGTTACCAGAGTGGGTATATGTAGTAATAACAGGGTTTCCCCAAAATAGTAACTTAAATTCAGTTCCTTAACAGCAATTAAGTTCTCTGGCAAGGTGGCATGGGCAGCGCAGTGTGCATTATTTCATGTAGCCTGGAACCAAGCGTTTTCGCTAGCCAGTGCATGAGGAGCGCTGCCAGACTAATTCCTCTCTCCCTGTCTCTATATATATACGCTATGTATAGAGATATATACATATAACCAAGTCTATCTATATATATATATCTGCACACTTATAATTATGTATGTATATATAGCAGTCTCCAGTATCATGCCTTGACTATTAGGAACCAATGTAGCTTCACAAGGAGCATGCGTCTTGAGAGGGTTTCCTTACCAAGGATTGGAGCAATGCCTTTCCCGGTTTCCCCTGATGTACAGTTTTTAATGTGCAGTGGCCGGAATATAGTGGGGGACAACTTTAACGTATGAGGGTGTTGGCTATTCTAGGAAAGCGCGTAGCAACTGGGCAGCGTATAGTTTTGAATTCCATGCTTGCGTATGCTTGGAGGATTCCGGGGTCACTTGGGAGTTAGGAGTTTCCAAAACGTATGGTCCGTTTGTGGAAGTCTCTTTCATAAAGGTCATTGATATTCGTGTCGAATGTTAGTGTGAGTGTCGAAATGTTTTTGTATGTGGAGCGAAGCTCATTTGAGCTCAAGCTTATGTCCTGCAATAAGTGCCGCCAGGGCCTGCGCTCTCCTGGCGACACTTGGTGTTTGGGGTGCCGGGCTCTAGAAGTGGCACAGCTGGAACTTGGGCGGCGTTGGCCAGACCAAGGAGCCCGGAGCCTGGCTGAGGAAATCTTGTTGAGTGCCACCCGGCACGTGAAAAGGCTGGGTGAGCTTGGACCTGGGCTGATTACTGAGCAAGCTCGGTACCAGCTCGACTTTGAGCCGGGAGCGGCCAGGAGCCCCGCGGCTGCTGCCCCTCCTGCCCGCGCTGATCCTCCGGGACCGGCTGGGGAGGTAGGGCGGCGCGCCGAGGCGGTTGCAGGCCCAACTCCTGGTCTGGCGGCGCCTGCTGCTGTGCCGGTGGTGGAGCCTGGAGCTGGTGTTCGTGAAGCTGGGCCCGCTCTGGAGGAGGACGAATACACCTACGAGTCGTTTTTTGAGGAGGTTAAGGCTGAGGATCCTGGGCCAGATCTGGGCACGGCTGCCAAGAGTTCGGCCCCTCCGCCGGAACCGGTGGTTCGAGCTCTCGATTTGGTATTGAGGGAGGCGCCCCGGAAGCGTGATCTGGAGGTGGAAGAGCCACGTGGGGCTGGCTCGTCGAAGAAGAAGAATAAGAAAAAGAAGGACACCTGTGCACGGTTCATGGGCTGCGGGCTCTGAAGGCGTTCAACGCAGCTTTCACGGCCAAGCTGCGAGGAACCGGCGGGAAAGGCCCCAGTTGGTGGATAAGCCTATGGTTCTTAGTTGGCTCATGCTCTATTGCATGGTCAATGAAGTTCATGTCTGGGGGGGTTTCCCTTGTGTCCATCTTTCATCGGCGGAAAAACCTTAAAGGACCAGGGTCCAACCTGTTCTGGAAGTTGGTCGAGATTATCCGAATTGTTCAAGAAATCTTTGCACCTGTGGCTTCAGTCAAATGGGTTGTTGAGAACGTCGCCTCCATGGACCCTGATGCGCGGGATGAGATAAGCTCAGTTCTTGAAGTCCTTCCTCTGAGACTTGACCCGGCTGATGTGCTTCCGTACTCCCGTCCAAGATTCGCTTGGATCTCTGAGGAGCCTTCCCGTACTGAGGGGTGCGAGTTGGTACAGAGGGAAGGCTTTGTGGAAGTTACCATGACTGCCACGGGGGTTGCGGAAGCTCAATGGATTCAACCTGGCTGGAACAGGGTTGACCCCTCGTGTCCGTTGCCAACCTTCATGAAATCCATTAAGCGTGAGCAACCCCCTCCTGTTCCTGCTGGGCTCCGGCGAACCCCTTGGGATGCCCAAGGCCGGTGGGCGGATGATGAATTTCGCTTTCCACCATACCAATATAAGGAACAGTTCATGTTGACAGATGATACTGTGCTCCGCTATGTTAGTTCAGGCGAGCGAGAAATCCTGATGGGATTTGGGGCCCAGCATACACGGTTCTGTTTTCCAGCTTCTGAAACCAAGAAGAACCCCGTTCGCTATGAAGATGAGCGGCTGAGTCTGATAGGAGACAGTTTCTGCATGCTCTCGTTCGGATGGGTTGCTGGCCTGTTGTGCCGTGCAGCCCGAACACTGGCGGGAGCACAAGAAATTGTTGACTTGATGGGACTTGCGCCCGGCGCGTGTTCACGTGCAGGTGCCTCTGCCCCAATGGAAAGATGGAAGCACTATGGGTTTGAAGGCAAGGATGACTCCCCACAGGATGCTGAGTTCCTTGTCAATAAGCTGGCGTTAGGAGCTAACCACACTGGATCTGATGTTCGGATCACCACAGGAGAGTTAATGACGCCGTCCAAGTCCGTGAGGCAAAGCACTGAGGCCATCTGGTGGAGCTGGAAGCAAGTCTTCTCCAAAAAGTGGCAGTTCCAGCACCACATCAATGCCCTTGAGATGCGTGCCCTTCTTCTTGGCCTTCAGTGGCGTGCGCAGAGGCCGGGTCACTTGGGTAAGAAGGTTGTTCACCTAGTGGATGGTTTCGTTACCTTAGGGATTGTCTGCAAGGGGCGCACCAGTTCGCTCATGCTCCGATCTCTTTCCCGGCAAATTGCTGCTCATGTTTTAGCCATGGGGATTACTCTTATTCTGGCTCATGTGGATAGCACCGAAAACCCAGCGGATGAGGGTAGTCGTGAGTGATGGCAAAACTTCACAGCAATGCTGATCGTGCTGCTGCGCGACGAGGTGTCAGCTTATGGAATGCGACCATAAAACTGGCTACCCTTCTTAGATATCAAGCTGCTGTACGATTGGTCCTGCTTTTTTTAGAAGGCGTCCGCTCCTTTTCAGAAGTGGACGGAGCGCTGTCAGATTGGATTGACCTGGCTTGGGGCCAGGGGCTGCCTTTGGGCACTATTGGTGATGCCCTGTCTGGCATGCAGCATCTTTGGCCCCAGTGCCGGCGTCAACTCCATCATTCCTGGCGCCTCTTCAGAGCATGGCGAAAAATTGAGCCCCCTTGCCGCGCCCCGCCCTTGCCTGCTCGTCTTGCATCTGCCTTTCTCGCGTGGTGCATCTTTCATGATGAGCTCGCGCTGGGCGTCATGGTGGGGCTGGGCTTCCACTGTCTGCTCCGTACAGGCGAGCTTCTTGCCCTGCGCGCCGAAGATGTTCATCTTTCAGAAAAAGCTGCAATACTCAATCTGAGACTCACCAAATCCGGCCGTCGCGTCAATGCTTTCGAGGCTGTTACCGTCTCAGACCGTGGGGTCCTTGCCGCGTTGCGGACTCTGTTGCAGATACGTGAGTCCCAGCATGTGGCAGGACTTCTGTGGCCACATAGTCCCCAATAATTTCGAACTGCTTTCCGTAGATTGTGTCACGTGTTTCACGTTAGCTCCCTTGGTTTTCAGCCCTACTCTTTGCGCCGCGGTGGAGGTACCTTTCTCCTCCAGCATGGCGTTTCGCTTGAACAAATTTTGCTGCGTGGACGATGGCAATCCCTGTCCACCGCGCGTATCTACTTGCAAGATGGTCTGGCCACATTGGCCTCTGTCAAGTGCTCACCTGAAACGGAAGCTAAAGCTGCTTCCTACAACTCCTCTTTTACAGCTACGCCGTGGTAGAGGGACGTGGAACAGAACTTGATGTCCTGCGCATATGCGTGTTTCAGTTTGGCCAGAAAATAAGGAGGCCCAGGCCTTGCGCCTGAGATTCCCAGTGCATGCCTTTTGCACTGGACGTTTGTGATAAAGGCCCCTTACTCATATGAGTGGTCATATATATGGCCGGCCATTCTGATGGTGTTCTGGAAAAATATTTCCAGAAAGGTACGTCCCTCGGACTGCGCCAAAAAGAGTGAAGATGCGAACACTAGTTTTTTGAGATATGTTATGGGGATCACCCCTTCTGACAACATGTGCCTTCTTGTTTGGTATTTCTAACTTGGACTCAGGGCCGCGGGAACATATCCTCCTGTACCCCTGATACAGAGCGCATTTATCTATCATTCCATGTGCTTTCGCTCCCGACTGATTGTGAGCTGCATGTGATCCTGATCTAATCTTAGGGCCCCAGCAAACCAGTTTTTTTTTTTTTGCAGAGGCGCCACGTCCGAACCTAGCCCCGCAAAACTGTCAACAATCATATCTTCCGTTAGGAGACTTGGCTTCATTGTATGTTAGTCTGGTCCCCGCAGGTGCTAGGTTGAGGCGTGCCGCGGAGGGTTATGTTTCAAGAAGACGTGATGAAGTTGAGAGATGCGCACAAGCTTGGGTGATGCCGAGGCCCCACGGGAGAGATTGGGCCCTAAACTATAAAGCCCCAGATCCTAAGCAGCCCAGTGAGAATCTTCTGCTTGAACCGCCCAAATCGTGAACTTCAACTCTTAAGCAAGCCCTTAGCCAGAAATCCAGCGGTCAAAACTCTGAACCCTTTGCTTTGTAGCCATCAATGTCCATCCAAAGCGCCAAGCTTTGCAGGGCAATCTAGAAGCCCACTCCCCACACTCATGGCCTACCCTAAACCCTAAACCCTAACCCCTAAACCCTTTTTTGCAAGGTTCGATGCACCGCCAGCCACGACCAGACTCAGCCGCTCTGCCATTCTATGACACGACTTGCTAGGTTGGCTTAGGGTTTAGGGTTTTTCTGGATCAATGTTGGGGATCCTTTATACTTTTTGGGGTGTGGGATTCCTTAAATTTAGGTAAAAAGGATCACTTTTTCTTCCTGGGCTAATGTGGGCTAAGTTTTATAGTTCCCCTTAAGTAGATAGAATATGGCTTTGGGTAAATTCTTACTAAGATCCCCCATATATCCCGTTTTCTATCTACTTAAGGGGGACTATAACCCCGATATATATCCGATTATAGTATAGTAGTTTCCATTTTCTGTTCCATTATCCCTACATAATAAACCTTCCTAAACCCTAAACCCTAATCCCTAAACCTATAATAAGGCTCCCATATACCCCATATTCTATCTACCTTCAGTATAGGGCCTTGGGGTAGCCATCTTCTGGGGCCCGCAGCCTGACTCTTGAAGCAGCAGCAAGAGGGAGGCATTCGTGTATTGCAGGTTTAGGTGATTTAGGGTTCAAGGGGATCAGGGTTGAGGGTTTGGAGCTTAGGTTTTGGGATTTAGAGCTTAGGGTTTAGGAGGATTAGGCCAGTTTGCCTGTTTGCTGAGGGGTGCGAGACATGCAGTCATGGGTTCTGCTTCTGCTGGGTATGCTTGAGCATGGCATAACCTTCTTTTCCTCCCGTTGGAGACGAAGGTCTCAATCAAAGAGGTCCAGTTTGGAAGGCTAGGTTTTGTAGGCTAAGGCTTAGAGTCTCGAGTCATGATTGTAGTTGTTGCCCAATAGGGATGGGTGACCAAATAGGCAATCCTGTAGCGGTAATTCCCAGTACACGACGAATTTCGGGTTGGACCAAGATGATAAAGTCTAGAATGACACCCCAGCCAGGTACCATAATCTTACTTCCCTGTGGAGGCATCTACGGGGGCATCTCTAGGATCCCCACGGGCTCCTCTGAATCTATTTCCAATTACAGGTCGCCATGTTGTTTCTTCCATTTTGGAACCCATCATGCCGAACATGACCAAGGAATGTCAGGGATGCGACGCGAGGCGCCATCTGTGCTTAGGGTTTCTCATACTTGTGCATCATCGGGGGTTCTCTATGATAGGTGTTATAGAAGTTCGATTTGATATTTAAATGGACCGCCCGCGTCGAGAAGTACCGATCTGAGTCTAGGGTTGACCTTACTCCCGTTTAAGTCAGGGGCTGTTCCTTTTCGTGGGAAGCCAAGCCAGGGAACTTCATGTGGTGTACTTAAGAAGAAACTTACCTTCGGAATGAAATATTCCCCACATACAAAATTGCGAACATACAACGAGATCTTTCACATTTATGGGGAGGCTGCTTGCCTCTTCTATTTGGCGATGGCAGTTTTCCTCTTTGGAATTGCGGCCCTGTGGCATTCGGGTCCCAGTGGGATAGCGGGTTTGTTTTTGGCAGTTTTGGCCGGCTTGTGTTTGGGAACCCCTCAACCCCCAAAGCTTGTTTCGGAGGCATTTAGGTGTTAGCTTGCTAGGAGCTTTGTTTCAAATTGAAATAGGGTCTACAGGGCTTGAAGTGCTATGAGCATAGCCTGTGAGAAACGGCCAGATCCTTGCCACTCGAGAAAAAACATGATAATCTTGCCTGAGCCCTAAACCCTACTTGGAAGGTTGGCAAAACAATGGGTCCCTAGCATAATGCAGACCTATAGGGGCCATACTTTTTGACAACCCCTCGCATCAAGCAGGCAAAGTCACTCGTCTGCTTCTTGACGGGAACACGCCAGCAGCTCAGCGCGACCGACCGTTCGAGTGTCTTTGGCACGCGTTAAAAGGCGTGGGATTGTAAGGCCCTATACAATACAAGTAATAATAGTACTAATATTAGCAATTTTCTTAAATAACGGCCGAAGTCTATGAATATTACTTACATTGGGCAATTTGGGGCACATTGGAGACCACGGGCACTGTAGATTGAAAAGGGAACTAGTAGGAGCAGGCCACAGAACGAATTATCGCTGCTAAGGAACCCATATCATATGCGGAAGACAATTCTGTTCCGATGTGCAAGAACCTACGTCGATGTCAAACCCCGTAAAATTCTTCGGAACCAAATCCAGAGCTCATATCGAATGAATCCCCAGCGCCATATCCCAACCTCCTAAACCCCAACCCTAAACAGTATCGAGCCCTGTGAGACCCTGAGCCCTGGGCCGTCAACCTGAACCCCGTCAAGTCCAGGTCAGACCCTAAACCCTAAACCCGAAACCCTATCTTACTAGTGCTTAATTAGTAGTGAATAAGGGAATGATCTTTTTCCTTTGGTTATATAGGATTGTATTCCCTTTCTCCCTACTGACAACCTAAACGCCCAATCCGAAGCCTGAAGCCCCAAGTAAGGGATTACAATACTACCCCCCCAAAGGTACCCCCCCCCAGATTTAGAACCCGTATAAAGCCCTATATAGTCCGTATTGCCTCCTTAAACTTTGGGGTGGGGTACCTTGTGGGGGCTACCCTAAACCCTAAAACCAATACCTTGGGGGGGTACTCCCTTACCAAGGCAGTTTCCCTTCTGCCTGCCGGAGTTGACCGAACGTGCCGCCGAGGCATCGCTCAACAGGTTTTAAGGTTTTAGGGTTTAGGGTTTAGGGTTTGGAGTTTTAACCCTAAACCCTAAACCCTAAAGGGGTTTATAATGTCTTCAGTTTAAGGCTTAGGTTTACGGTCTTGATTTTGAGGTTTAAGGTCTAAGGTTTAGGGTTTAGGGTTCAAGGTCTAAGGTTTAGGGTCTAAGGTCTACTACCCAAACCCTCCTGTGTAGTTCCTTTTGGGGTGCCCTATTATAATCCGTCACCAAAACAATAGCAAGCCTAAAAAGGAACTACATAGGAGCCCTTGGGCAGGGCGCAAGGTCAAGGCTTAGGTTTCAAGATTTAGGGTTTTTACGGTTTCACAAAAGGCGTGGTCATGCGGACGTTGGGATCTAAAGGTTGGAGTGATGGACAGGTTATAGCGTATATCCACTATAGTTTTGTTATGTATAACGCTAGTGTTTCTTAAGCTACCTACCTAGACTGGTAGATGCTAGGAGTTCCCCCACTGCATTGTGAGTAGTTTCTGGTGGGACGACGTCATCCGTAAGATGTTGTTGCTCTAATTTGCTTACTTTCCCCTAAATGACAACAAGAAAAGAGCTGTGTTGGGTGTACAGCTCAACACCCAAACAAAGTAGAACAAAGTATTGCTTCACTGGAAACTCTGGAAATCACAAAACCATGGCCCCTTGTCATTTTCCGGCGCCTATACTTGGGATGCTGAGATCTAATCTGCGGTTATGATCTACCTGCAAGATTGTTGAGTCGAAAATATTTTGAAATTTTGTTATCCTTAATTCCTATATAATCTTCATAACACAGAAAATGTCATTCTGAAAGGGCCCCCAATCCTAACCTAGTACCGGGGTGGCATTTGCGTCTTCCGGTAGCTGCATGCATGCTTCAAGCTTGGAAGGACACACAGAGAGTGGCTTCGGCTGCCAAAGACCCTAAAAAGTAGCAGGGCTTTAGGAACCGAATAGGAGCCCTAGATAGTAATAGGATTTTGGGAACCCAATATGGTATGACCATAACAGGGTCCTGGTTTTGGGGGTTGGGGTTACTAAATCCCACCCTAAATAGTAGTTTCCATTTTTTCCACTATGCCTATATAACCCCATGTAACCCTACATAACCTCATATAACCTCATAGATAACCCTATAGATCCCTATATAACCCTATATAAACCTATATAACCCTAATATAAACCTAAATAATCCTATATAAGCCTAGATTACCAAATCCCACTTATTGGAGCTCCCCAACTCCCAGGCCTACGAGCAGGCCCTGCGGAACTATACCGCAGGAGCCTCAACAACTGCACTCCGGAAGTAAGGAGGGGTTTACTGTTTAGGGAGTTAGGGTTTAGGGTTTAGGGGTTTAGGGACTATGAAGGGGAGGAACTAAGAAGGGAACATGATATGTAGAGGTACTTTGGGATTGGGGTAATAGTTGGGGAGCAA